AGCGTATCTTATGCGCAGTTTAGTTTAAGAGTATTTGACATGCTCGCCTTTTGGTTGTCTGTGCTATCATATATTTTTAGTATACTCGATCATGCTCGCCTTTTGTTTGTCTGTGCTATTATATATGTTTAGTACACTCGAATACAGGTGTTTCTAAACTCTGTGTGTTATGCGCTGACAATATCAGCAACTTGAAGATATTCACCGAGCTGATTGCGGTAAGTTTTAGATTTACACTGAAACCTTTGGCACTATCGATGGATAAGAAATCTTTGCCCGTGATTTCTAAGGTTGCGTCCAGATCTAACTCAGCCGCTCCATCTGCCTCCTCAACCTCCTCATCACTACCTCCCTCGTACTTAATTGAACCTCACTATACTTGTCCACTAAGCTGAAGGACAGAGCAAGCGCTGGTGTCATTGCTCCAGGCATATTAACTAACTACATACACTGAAATAATGTGTGTGAACGTGACTACACACGTTCATGTACAAATATACGCGCGTGTTGTATTTGTGTATGTAATTCTACATGTAATGAACACTGAAAATATACTATGCCAGTCGGTACAAAAATAACAATGTGAATTTTTGTTGATGTCAGAACGAATCTAGGATTTGACCATTCATTAACAAGCTTGAATGCACATCTAATAATAGACATCCACTTGAAATTAAGCTTGGTGAAGTCTATTTGGGTCACTGTATGATAAGCTTGGTGTATCCTGGCATATTCTATTTCACAAGATATTAAAATTAGTGGGGTCGTCCAAAAAAAAACTTGCGCCCATTTGCCGCCAAAATTAGTGGGGCCGTCCAATGGTTAGTGAGATTACTTCCACTAACTAGTTGGTAGTGAGATTACTAAGCAGTAAGCACACTTACTAAAAAAATATTTAAAAAATAATAATAGTATTCGTTGCCGTTTTGTTTTTCTAATTTATTTATACAAAACAAAAATATCAAATGGTGGAAAAATATGTACATATTTTTACTGTAAATATGTAAAATTGTAACTACAGTACATATTTAGATATATCAAATAATATCAATACGATACGAAAAACAACAATATTGAAGGCAGCCTTAAAAATACTCAAAATAGCCGCCTTCACATTTTTATTAGCAATAGAGCCTTTTGTGTTTTTTAAAAAAACAATTGAACATTCAAATGTCAATTTTTAGAAGGCTATGTTGAAGAAGGCATTTTGTTTTTTTAGTGGCAAAAAAAAAAAAACAACAACAACAATAACAACACTATTTTTTATTCAGTGTCAGTCGATTTGGCATCTTGCTTTTTTTAATAATTTAGTTTAATTGTAGACCCTCGAAGGGCCTCCAATTTACGGCTTTAAAAAAAAAGTGTTTTGTTTTGTTTTCTATAATTTCTACATGTCAACGTTTAAAAATGAAAAAGCACAGCAGCCCCTTCAAATTGAAATGAGTGATATTTAGCCTAATAAGACATTCCGATATACGATGGTATGTATTGTTTAAAAAAATAAAATTGAGTATATTGACATTATTTATAAAAAAAAGGTACATCTGATGTTGCGAGTTGTTTCGTTCCCGCCCCCGGCTGCCGGCTACGCCTACCCGCGTATAAATATCGTGACGTGCGCGAATTATATTCAGTATAGTACAATACTGATAATTTTCATCCCAAAGAGAACTTACTCAAATTTGTAGAAATTTGGTTGGGTGGGGTCATAAATTTCAAAAGGGAGAACGAACTTTATTATCCGTTTAGCCGGCCCGTTGACCCTTAATTTCTACTTTTGCTCTCTAGATGGTCATACATGATGCGGGGTATGACGGTTTTCTAAAAAGTGGGGTCTGAGAGTTTGGGACTCTGCCTGACTGCCACTCTTGACTTTTTAGAACAGTAGAACTCTGGAGCCTGGACTCACTCTGGAGACTGGAGTTAGGAGTTCTGCACTCTTGTTCAGGCTGCCTTATTTCGTTTGTGTTTGTTGCTTTGTGTCTAATCCAATCAACTACAATACGCATTATAGCTGAGTATCACGCAGCCTGTCATTTGTGAATTGTCAAAATGAAAACTGTCAGTGACGACTGACGAGTTTGCGGACTTGCGGCAACTTGCGAGTTGACTTGCGAGTCCTATTTTTTTTAATAAAAAAACAGAAACCCTAAAACCTGTCAGAATAAAAACTGACAGTGTCGAGCTCTCTATTCTCTCGAAACTCTCGACTCTCCAGTGACCAGTCTCCAGTCTCCACTCTCCAGTTTCACTGTTTCAGGTCTCGACTCTAGAGACTTGAAAAGTTGAAATTTACGAGGAGAAGGTGGCGACTGGCGAACTCAGGCGAAGTGGCGAGTGATTTGAGAAGTTGCAAATTGACAACTCACTTGTTGTCATGTTGTGACCTTGAGTCCTTGACACTTTGAGTTCTTGACACTTGACAGTTTTGGCACTTGACAGTTTTGACTCCTGCGAAGTTGTGGAATCGGATACATAATGTATATAACTGTATGTATTTATCACACACGTCACACACATCACGATTGTCACGGTGACAGTTGACAGAGCTGGACTACGAGATATGAGAGAGAAGAAAAGAAGAGGGCGTCAGGCGTCAGTCGTCATGTTTTATTTAGTAGTATGTAGGGTATAGTCGTCAGCCTGCCAGCTGAATGTTTTTGTTAAAAAACCCATAAACTAGAAGAACTAAAAAAGACCGTGAAGGCTGAAGACTGCAAGGTGAAGTAGACAATGTTTATATTTAAAAAAAAATAAACATAGCCTCGAGTCCTACTCTCTCTCTACTTAGTAGACTGATAGACTCCTCTTTATATATATGTATTTATAGAATTGTAGATTGTAAATAGAACATAGGAGGCTATTAATAGAATCACTATATTTCCGAGTGTTTTTTTTTTGAAAATAAACTACTTATATTTCTCAAATTCTTTATATATAAAAACAACTATGTATATACACAAAATCACATATCGACAACGCTGATTCACAACTCGAATTCTCATCCCGTGCCGGCGAGCACTCTGGATCTCTTTTTGTGTGGAACTGTGGATCAGCAACGTGCTGAAACTTCAAATAGAGAGAGTAGAAACTAGAGAATGGTCCTTGAAATATTGCTAAATTTATTCCTTTCACGTGTAAAGTCAATAACGAAAACTTTCTGAACACACGCTATGATTGGATACTAATATTTTTCAGAATTGTTTCAAATTTATTGGACGAGAATACAACACGGGATTGCTCCATTTCTGCAAACAACTTTGATTCTTTCAACCACCTGATCCTGATGAGAAGTAAAACAGGCTGGTGGCAGAGTTGCACCTGGTGGCTGGTGGTTTTTTAGAGCTGGGGCCCAGTGCTGATTGCTGAACTGTGAACCCCATGTCTGCAATGAGCAGAGAAGACTGTTTGTAAAAAAACTAAAAAAACAATAAAATATACGTATGTACATACTGTGGCATAGGCTCGTAACCTCACCCCCCTTAAATTGGTGAACTGTGTAGACAATTTAACTCGCATTATGTACACACATGATGACTGCTGAATCTGATATTTTCTATATTTACGCTTCACATTGACGTGAAGCATATTTCAGAAGATTTTATATATCAGCTAAATACTTAAACTTTACAAGTAACACTATTGGTATCATCATTAAACTTCTACAATCCTACCTCATTAATACCCGGCTACATATTTAAGGCAAAAGCAAAATATACTGACAGTCATTTATCCGCCTGTGCGCATTGTAAAATATAACACGCTCATTAGCAGCACCGTCTTGTTCATACAAACGAACAAACATCTGCCAGCAACGATGGGTATGTCATACAAGAGGCAATACCACGAAAATCCCAAAAATATACAAAATTTTGAAGCACGGCTACTTGCTGTCATTAAGCGTATAGTAGCCAGTAGAGATGTTCTCACACTGAGCAGTCTGTTTGCTTGGGGCCGTATGACTATAACGATAAAGTCACCAGCAGGCGACACATTGGAATTGTGGAAACCAAAACGTATGGATGTTGTAGCACTATTTGCCCATATATATCAGAACAGGAAGGTTCTATTCCTTGATTATGCACCATACGAGTTTGTGTTCGAAGATGCGACCAGACGAAGTGTAAGGAATACAGAGCTGACGTGTGATGAGAATGATATTGTTGGTATACAGCACGAGCTTGACACACATTGGGGCGTTCACAAACGATTGCTTTGTCCCGCACTGCGGTTGCCAAGTGCTATGGGGCGACCAGTTTCTCCAAGTTTGAATCAGTCACAACACCAGGCGGCAGGCGCTACTTCGGCGAACGACACAAACATTATGCATCTTAATTTGCACACGTCACCCAAAAGCAGTACTGGCAGTGATGTGCCGAATATGACGGGGAGTCCCCATGAATTTCATGGATGGCAAAATTATCAATCTACGCAGCAGGACACCGCTAGAAGTTTACCTAGTCACTTTGGCATGCGATCAATGTATCAGCAACACCGTCAGGCAACCCAATACTCCCAGCAAACACAACGAATGAGTCAGAAACAACGGCGGCCACTAGCTAGCGTGTTCGCTTCGCATATGGATGATGATGTGCAATCCCGTACATACAACAGTCACGATTCTTATGGAAGCTATGGGGACACGCAAGGTCAGCAACATGATCATGGAATTGAGAATAACAGCTTACAGTATTGGAAGGGTCGGAATTCAACTTTATATCCAGTTGAGCAAGTGACACAGAACACGCGGGCTACATCGGAAGATAATAGTAATATGATAGCTTTGGTCATGGCGGCTATGGAAAGGATAGAAGCTGAGAAGGTAGCTCCGGCGGTGGATGAAGCTAATAGTTGCCGGCCCAAGTTCGTGAGTGATGTGCACGGCAGTTATCACGCACAATCGCAACAGAATCAACAACAACTCACATATAGCGACGCTGAGTACTTCACTACTACGTATACACCAACCACGAGTCATGCCAGTACCTTGACACCTGGATCACGCGAGTCGAGTCGGGCGGCTACACCTGATCATATCCATCACATGGATAACCACGAGTCAGAGATTAAACATACGTATAGTGGCCAACGTCATACAAGAAATGAAAGCTCACATATCGATATGGAAGAGCAGCAACATTACTCTGAACATACTACAGCAGATACCTCAGCGCTGGAGCGTAAATCTTCGGCGGAGAAGAAGCTCTATTACATGCGTCCTGGTCCGCTGGGAAAGAAAGTGCGGAATGAGCGGTTATCGAAGTTTGTAGTAAGTGATATTACTGGCAATAGTATGGTCGGTGGGCCTCACAATACCTATGATAAGTCGGGAGTGCCGATAGCTACGAAGGAGTCTATTGACCGAAGGTGTAAAACCTGGAGGCCTTGGTAGACGAGATTATTGAACTTGTGGGGGAGAAGCTGGTGCTTATTAATTTCAGAGACTATAGTGGGTGTATCAAAACTTGATTCTAAATCAGCAAACTTTAATAAAAATGGAAAGATAACCATCGGGACCTGACTGCTATACCTTTTTTTAACATGTTTATTTCTATTATACATAGTTTTAGTAAATAGAAGCTGCTACTACCGTCTAAACTACCAAGTTTCAGTAAGCTTGAAAGCAACATCGTAATAAATGCATGCCCTCTTGTTGAAAGAAAAGGAAATGATCTAAAAAAAGTATCTCAAAGCAGTGAGAGTGGTCTCTCTACTAGTAGCAAAAATAAGACTAATATGTAGTACCTAAATATTTAACTCAGAACATCTCTCGTGTCACAGCCCCTTAGCCCAAAGAAACATTGAAACACTCGTGTAGTATATTTTTATTTATTTATATTTAATGCTCACTACTATATTATCACGACAGTTTAGGGTTTCATAACCTAACACATTGCCATTTGCCGGTTCCGGCTGACCGTGGGTAATGAGGTGATCACGTTTGAAACCAGTGCTTGTGGTGAAATGTCAGCAATTTTGCTTTGCCCAAAGTAGGATTTTTTTTTGGTATTATCTAGGCTCACGGAACCAAGACATTTAAGCTAAAATGGTTCGTCAGATATTTGAAATGCGAGTTATATTGACGTGAAAGATCAGTTCAACCCTATCTAGATGCTATAAAAAATATACCTAAGTATACTTTCACGTTTATACCTAAATCGATCTTACATTGGCCCAATTTTAAACTGCATTGACATGTGAATACATTTACGAAGAATTATAGCAATAAACAAATCATATTGCTTTAAATGAATATTGCGGTGAGATGAACCAGTTGTCACCGCCACCTAAGCCTAAAAAAAGAGGCAGATCCTCAATTCCTCATAGGCCATAAGCCTTCTCTGTTTTAAAATATTAGAAGAAGGCTATGGATGCCGCTGACCGTGAAAATCCAAAAACTTCTCTCGCTCTATACCTTACAGTGAGCACCAAGAGACCCGAAAACAGTAAACAAATAAATATAAATAAGTACATAAATAGTACACACTGCATATATATTTTCAATAAAAATACAGTAGTACAGTGGTAATAAAAAAGAGGTCTTATAATATCCGCAGGATGTTTATTTATCATGGCAACAAGATGAATTCAAAAAAATAAATAAAAATATTGAGTCGACGGGAACTTGACGTGCAATTTGTACATTATTTTAATCCATTTTTGTATATCCAACAGCGGACTACAGAGATTTGTTCTAAAATAGCAAGAAGACGTTTATTGTTCATTAAAATAGCTCACTATATCATAGCATTAGAGTGTCGTAACTTCTCCTCCGACTGCACATCTTTGAGAGGAATGCCGACACACTCCCACTTAGTGCGCCAGACGCTTCGTTTGGCTAGAGTTCTTCCCCATTGTACAGCGTCGACTCGACAAGTGGTGGCAAAACGATCACTGCACTGTGTACGCCAAAACACGGGCGTTAAACTCGGTCAGCACCATGTAATCTCGTCTGATATATACAATAGTATACGTACTGTAACCCGATACCCCCCCGTGTCTAAGGTAACAGTATGGAAGCAGAGCCGCCGTCATCGCTCGGTTGTCACTGACAGCGATAGTGACGTAGAGCATCACGAGAACAGCAGGAGGAATGAGCTGAAGTGGGGCATATCCCGGTCACCTACATATATCAAGGCACACACTAACGAGAGCACGTGCAACAAGGCATATACATCAAAATCTGGTGAATTGGTCTTGGACTGGCAGGATGGGCACAGAAGTGCATTCCATTCGCTATGGTTGAGAGATAACTGTCAGTGCAATGAGTGCGTGCACCCCGATTCCTTCCAGAAGCTCTCCTGTATAGCTGATATGTAAGTCGTATGCCACAGTTGACGGGGTTGACGCGTGGTACTCATGTGCCTCTTTGCGTTCTTGCACACTGATATACGTTGTTTGCATTGATATATGTTTTTTGTATAAATCTTGACAGATTAGCATACTAATTTATGATGCATCATATATCCGAATATATATGCGAGTATATATGCCTGTACATGTATAGTTTGTAAGTTTCTGTGTATGTTATACGCGTGTGTAGTGTCGGATCGGGTTTGCATCCCGCACTCGACATACATATGGAATACACTTATACAAGTATATCTCAGTGAACTGTAACATTGAATTGTTTTGCGATTGATTTAGTTTCGATGATGTACCTAGACACAAGTACCATGAGGCTGAATCCACATCATTGTACACTCATATCCACAAATACGTACAACCTCGTATATGTTGTGCATGCACATTCATACTATTTATATTTAGATATATATATATATATATATTTAAATATAGTTGCGATCATGCCGATATACAGGTGTTTTTGTCGTTTCTCATATATAGATATATGTATAAATTTTGTGTATGTTTATGTGTTTTTGTTCCTATATAAACATATTTATATACTTTTTTATACTTTATATATATATATCAATCGAGAATGTGCAAAGGTTGAATCAAACTCGTCTAGTTATAAGCCTCGTCGGAGTGTAAACTTTGACCCTGTGTATCCAAATATCAAAGATTTTATGTATAGAGACGGTGGTTCTCAACTCGATTTTGTTCAGCAGAACTATCTTTTGAGTGGAAGAATATTCGTTTGTTGCAGTTCTTACTAATTTGCTCTTTTCTTGAGATAAACTAGCCCCAAATAAATTTGCGTCGCTTTGAAGCTCACGCAGTACCTGGTCGTTGCTTTACTCTCCTTTTGTTGCTTGTGTGATTATGGCCACCTTTCTTTCTGCATTCTTGATTCATAACTGATAAACGCTTCTCCACCGGATTACCATGTACGTGTATTGTAGTGGTCTAGAGCACCGAATTGTGGGAACGCCTGTTATAGACTCCAGTGAAAGCACGGCCACTATAACATGGGAGGACCAACACGTGGGCCAGTATCCTCTGGAATGGCTCCGAGAAATGTGCAGGGACAGCAAGTACCGCAAAGCTGATGTAAGCAAACATAAACGCGTAGCCACGCGCTTTCCAGTGGTCAAGTGCTGATGCAAACATGTCGCACTAGAGTAGTCTAAGTTATGGAGCGAGCAAGAGTGTTCTCTCTGCACGTGCTCGCTTGCCATCTCAGTGTATATGCTATTCTTCGATTCACTAGTCTTTTATGACCATCGTCATACCTGAGATATCTTTGTGGGCTGAGTTTTGATTTGATGTATATGTATATACACGCATGTTAGTAGATCTACATATATTTTTGTCTGGATGTTTGTTTGTTTATGTATGAGTGTGTCTGCATTCTTTGGTCTATTCTCTAAGTTGGGTTGCTTAATGATCCATTCTTGCAGTGGAGGAGATCAGAACCCATCCATCAATGGGGAAAAGAATTCAGTGACAGGCTCATGTCAGTCGATTTCTCGGAGTATATGAAAACGGACAACACCTTATACTCCTCATTACACGAGTTACACACAACCGGGATCTTTTTGGTCAGGAACATCCCCACAGAAGGTATAGTATGTTGATTCCATATAGATCATAGATATACACAGATATAAATATTGTCACGTGTTACGGTAGACACCCACTTAGGGGTTTAAAGCCTGCACTGATACTCGAACGTTTGAACTATGTACTGCCTGTCAGATTGATATGTGTAAACTGAAATGCTGTCGCACACGCGTTTCGGCTTTAGGTGTATTCATAACAATGCTTCACCGAAATACTGGCATAGTTACTAACATCTGCATCGTACCCAACTACTAGGTGTCGTTGGACCCATAGCCGAGCGCATTGGTCCTATTAGGAACACCTTCTACGGCAACACATGGGAGGTGCGGTACGAACCAAACCCCACCAACATCGCGTCCAGTTCATTCTCACTACCCTTACATCAAGATCTGCAATACTTTGAGTCACCCCCTGGGCTACAGTTGTTACACTGTGTGTCTGCTGCGCCCGGCGGGTTGTCAGAGTTTATCGACGGATTAGCCGTAATCAATCGCATGCGTGAAGAGGTATGTGGTTGGGCGCGTCTACCCCTGTGTATGATGTGTATATTCATGTGAATGTTTGTTTTTATGTATGGAGTCGAAGGAGGCATGATCTCTCGTGAGACCCAGAGCGCGATAGTAATGCGATCCCCATGCGAAGTTTGTTCAAATTACTTGCTGCGTTTTTTGAGGAATGGGAATACAGGACCGCGATCCAAAGCATTTCGAAACTTATCATCTGCTGTGGCTTTGCCTCGTCGCATGCCAATCAGACAATGCAGTTCGGTTAGGTTTATCGTCTGCGCATTGTATGGCATTGAGGCGATCGCGTGAGTTCTAGATAGGTGTGCATGTACCAGCTGTTGTATTTGATAGTATCTCGATGTCGCACTCCTTGATTTGTTACGCAGACACACACATACTTATAATTACAGACATCAGCACGCCCTCTACTAGCACAAATATCCTCAAGTACCCCGGTCAAGGCGCATTCATTTCCCCTGGGTACAAAGTGTTTCTACCATACTTGACGTTTCTAATATATCTTTGAATGAACACATAACAGCACCCAACCGAATTTGAGACCTTGGTGAGGTTACCAGTCACATACCACTACCGATCCGCCAACGAATACCGTGTATTTAAGGAGCAAATCGTCAAACTCAACGAAGACGGCAGCGTCAAGCATCTGAAATACTCACCGCCATGGGAGGTGAGCTCCAGATTGCGTGTGTCATATCAACGGCGTCTCTGTTTCGTGTGTTGCCGTAGGATCACTGGTTTAGGTCTTAGGATCACTGGGTTTAGGTCTGTCAGTATGGTGTGTGGATATGGTGTATATGGGGTAGGGTTTCATCGCTGGGTTTGTGTTGTGGAAAGGCAAACTTAGTACAGTGCACTTCACTCTACACTTGGGATTGTGCTGCGAAATTGGGATGGGCCAGTCTGTGAGCTTTCGTTGCTCAATTGCTCTCTGTGCATTAATTGCAAGCTTTTGTTGTATAGACGCACACCTGTTATACTGTACAGGTACTGTTGCTTGCGTGTGTGCCACACACCACCGGCAACGCGTACGGAATTCATGGAAGTAGGGGCGTTCATCTACTCTGCCTTGCATATTAATTTCTATTTGAAATTTAGATTGCATCTTCCGAATACCCTTACACTGAACGCATGCTGATACCTGTTTTTCTGGGCTCTCCCCTTCTCGGCGATAGGCCCCTTCGGACCTTCCTAATAGCGAGATGACCGCATTCTACTCGGCGTATCATCTGTTTACTGAGATGTGCCGTCGCGACGAGTTTTTGATGAAATTCCAACTGACCCCCGGCGATTGTGTGGTGTTTGACAATCGCAGAATATTGCACGCCCGTACCGAGTTCAACCCTGGGTTTCCCAGATTACTTCAGGGCACTTACGTAGACACGTGTGACTTCAACAGCACCTACGGAAGTAAGTTATGCGACAGTTTTATATTTTTATATATAGTGTACAAAGAAGCTGGCAAGCTGTCACTAGTGATGTACATTGATGTCGTGTTAGTAGGAGCGTGGAGCGTAGAGAAAAGCAAATACGTGGATATACATCGTGTATGGTACATTTATATGCAATCGTACGGGTGGTGAAACAGTGGGATGTTTGCGACTGCAACATATTATATAGTACGGATTGCTATTTAGTGCAGGGCCCATTTTGAAGTATCCCGAGTATCCATGTGGTGCTGGAATTTTCTTTGGGTGACTCCGTGCTGATGTAAAAATCAATTATGCAAAAGTAGTATCTATCGCAATGCACATTTTATGTTTAAAAAATTGTGTTGCCGCACACGGTAGGGAACAAGAAGTATGAACTAACTCTGCTGTCACGTTTTCTGTTGACACTTGTTTAAACTGTCGCTATACCGTCTCACCGCTGCGGCATTCACCGCCAAAGTGTATCCCTTCGTACTAACGATTTTTTTTATCACTTTACAGCAATGCGACTTCGTAATAAATCTCTGTGAGCCCTGTAACAGTGTCGCCGAAAATAGTATAGACCTTCCTTTCGAAGTAAACTTAGGAATATAGAAATAAAATTGTCAGTGTGCAAATTTGCCTTTTTATGAACCGTACCCAACTGCTCAAGTATTATCTCTTTGCAGTTAAATGAGGACAATACACCTCCTTATGAACCTTGTTCAAGTGCTTAAATACGCTTGTTAGCTTGATACAACACTGCGATATATGGAGGTCATGTACATATGTGTAATAAGTGTGCCGACGTACAACGTTCATAACTATATCTGCAACTAATCGCCGCAGCAAAAAAAATAGGCGTTGTACTATAGACTTAGTACTTTGGCGTTATACATGCTTTCCTCTTACTCAAGTATCCATTGTTGTATAAAAATAATCAAATACGTCGTCCAAGGTGGCAACGTCCAACAAGGTCCAAGACTCCTCGATTTGTTTTCAAACCAAAAAGCATTTAGCATAGCCTCGAGTGAGAGAATGAGCCCTCGGTCGAAGTTCAGTCGAGTCAGATTCAGAGTGACTCAGAGGAGTTTTCAGTTTTCTTTTCAAACTTGTTTTTGTCTAATAATTCAAACTTTTTTTTGGCCAGTACATAGTACTGTTGAGTGTTGGCCAGTACATAGTACTATTGAGTGCTGGCCAGTGACAAATTTTACACTATTGGGGTTTAGAGTTTAAAACTACTTAATTAGGCGTTATGATATCAGATATACTCTCTGTATGCAGCATAATGATAAATACTTCTCTATTTTTTTAAATACTACTACTATTTAAGTTGTTGATAAACATTCACTTCTAAAATGATTGCCGAATGCAATTTTGAGAAAGCAAGCAGTCGTCCAGCATCCTAGGCATCGCAAGTTCGCAACTCTTGACACCAGCACTGAGCACTTTTGTATTCACTTTTAAGCATAGAACCCTAACCATCAATTACAGTACTGCAAAATATATCCGCAAACATGTCGTTGAATATGCGTGACACGCCGTTGTTTCAACCTCACATCGAGATTACGAAGCGTGTTCCCATAACTTTGGCCGACAAGTATGTTTCGACAAAGAAGTGTTATTCACAGTGCATGTCTGGATAGCTTTCGTGATTTGTTAGCTATGTACAAAAACTTATATATATATATATATATATATATATATATATATATATATATATATATATATATATATATATATATATGTATATACATACATATATATATATATATACATATATATATATATATATATATATATATATATATATATATATATATATATATGT